GGTCCGTTGGTCCATGCTCGCACACCGCGCTCTCTCGCAATACCTTTATTACACAACACCTTCCCCCTAAACGTAATCCTGCAAGTACCGAGGACGACGCTGTTCACTCTGTGGGCGTCCTAACGAAGAAACACCTGGAGTTGGATGTGGAGATTGCGGATGCAGTGTTGATAGGTTATCCTGGCCGGGCTCTTCCGTACTTGACGTGACGTCTGGCCCAACGTCATGGCCAGTAGTTCCGAAGTCTGGCACGTCGCAGCTGCCCCTCATATAGGGTTTGGCATATCGCATTTTCTACTTCGGATGTGATCGATGTGTCGCCGCCACACACGTCCGTCTTCAAGCTGTACCTGGTAAGAGACAGGTCCCAACTGGCATAAAATCTCCCTTAGCAACCAGCGGTTCCGCTTGCGCTGAAATTAATCGCAAACACGTGGCTTCCCTGCGCGAACTGTCGAACAGCCTTCCGACCGTCGATCTCGAAAGATGCCTTCTGGCGCTGGGTCATGACTGACTGTTGATCAGGATGTAGCTGATCCAAGGCTGATCGGAGCTGTCGACCGAACAGAAGCTCTGCAGGGCTCTTTCCTGTTGAGGTGCTTGGAAGAATGTGCTGCTTGAACAAGAACCTGGCCAGACGAACGGACCAGTCCCCCCGAGTTATTTTCTCTATTGACTTCTTCGTCTCCTGCACCATCTTTTCGGATAGGCCATTCGCAGATGGGTGATATGGTGCCACCAGGACTTGACGGACGCCGTTTCGACGGAGGAAATCTTTAAAACCGCCCGAACTGAGGGCAGTACCATTGTCCGAAACCACCTCGTCCGGCAGTCCGTGCGTAGCGCATAAGGTAGTGAGTACAGTGATCATAGCCGAGGCGGACGTAGTTTTGACTCGCAGGACTTCCAGCCATTTCGACAAAAACCCCGAGACTGGGACAAAAAGGGACGGACAAACACAAAGTTCCAGCCATTTGGAGTGGGAATCCACTACGATGAAAAAATACTCGCCCTGGAAGGGACCCGCAAAGTCGACGTGCGGTCTTGAGCACGGTTTTGTCGTAAATTCCCACGGGTGGACGGGAGCACGGGCTTGGGTGCTTCGGGATTCCTGACACGGAACACAGCACCGCACTCGGCGTTCTATATCTTGGTCAAGGCCCGGCCAGCAGACATAACCCCTTGCAAAACCCTTCATCCTCACAACCCCCGGGTGACCGCTATGCAATAGGTCCAACACGGTTTCTCGAAGAGGTGGGGATGTGATGACACGGCTTCCCCAGAGAATACCACCATTATAGGCAGACAGTTCGTCGCGGCAAGAGTAGAAAGGCCTGAAAACCTCTGGAGGTTTCTCTGACGGCCAGCCGTGCAGGATCCAACGCAGTACCCGGGAAAGAACATGATCTTTCTTCGTCAGAAAAGCCACTTGTTTTTCGTCAATGTGCACCTCCGGCGTTGATTCGATGAGGAGAACATCACGAAGAGGAGGTACCTCAAAATCCTGAATCTTCTGAGGAAGACGGCTGAAAAGGTCAGCGTTGCCCATCTGTTTCCCAGGTCTGTAAATGAGCTCATAATCGCACTGGGCTAACGTCAGGCTCCAGCGCAACTTACGCGGTGATAGAACCTGAGGAATTGGCTTGCTGTGGTGCAGTAACCCCAGAAGAGGCTTGTGGTCTGTAAAAATCTTGAAATGTCCATACAAGAACTGACAATACTTATTCACACCAGCTACGACAGCCAACGCCTCACGATCCGTCTGCGAGTAGTTTCTTTCGGCTTTTGTCGTCGTTCTTGATCAAAAGGCCACGGGAATTCTTCACCGGACGGTGACACACGGCTCATGACGAAACCTAGGCCATACGAAGAAGCGTCGCAGGCCAATATTAAAGGACGCTCGACGTCGTAATGTGCCAACACGGTCGAAGACTGTAGAAGATTTTTGGCGCGCCGGAAAGCTACAACTTCCTCTTCTCCCCACTTTTACGATGCACCTTGGTCCAGCAACCGATGTAGGGGTTCCAGGACGTGAGCAGCCCCCCTTAAGAAGCGGCCGTAGAAGTTCAGAAGTCCTAGGAAGGATTGCAACTGTTGTTTATCTTGCGGTTCTGGAGCGGTCTGAATAGCCTGAACCAGAGCCGTTTGTACTGAGAGAGTTTGGCCGATGGGCGGAGCTTGTTGGCTGCTAAAACAAGCGGATTTCGCGATAACACAATATGGCGTTACTTCTTTGTCTTGTTCATTCCTGAGAAATCGCGTAGAGTTCCTATGAGTCAGATCCACAATATGGCGGACGGAAGTAGTCATCCCCCGGTTGTCAGACTACGCTGCTGTGGTTGTCAGACTGTCAAAATCTCCTTAAGAAGGCCAAACTCTCTCAGTATAAACGGCTCTGGCCTGAACCTTGTCTTCAGTGGGGTTGATGCCTTCCTTGTTGATTTTGTATCCCAGGAAAGACACTTAAGGCAGGGTTGGGCAGTATCGCGATACAAATGTATCGCGATAGTATTTCAGGAATACATTTCGTATCTGTATTTCTGTATCGCGATACATTTTTTTCACCAGTATCCGTATTTTTGTATCGAAATACATTTTGAATTTTTCTTTGTATCGCGATACAATCAGGGTGAAATGTATTTCGTTGCATTTCTTAAAGAACACACCCCCCCCAAAAAAAAAAAAAAAATCCGAGCTTTTTTTTTTTTTACTTTTGAGGGCACCAGGGTCAAGGAGATGCTGGGGAATTGTTACCATGCTGACCAAGGTTCCTTCCGATTCTCCAAACTATTTTTTAAGGGGTCCTCTTCTCTCTTCTGAGAACTATTGCGCAGTCGAAGACTCGAACTAGGT